AACAATGTTTGTGGGGAAATCCTTTCATGATACTAATTACAGATCTGCATGAGGCGTATTTCTCCAAGATAGACATCGAGAAGTGAAATTGCTAGAAGCTTGAAGAATAGGCACATGCTTAGTTAAAATTTCTAATCCTAGATTACCTTCCAAAAAACTATACCTAATTGTATTCTCACTGATTTATCGCAGTACCACTTTTTCCAGGGTATCCTTGCCAATAGTGATTGTCAGTGTTCTTTATTTCTGCAAATGAAGATTATCTTTAAAAATTAACTAAATATTCTTCTTTGAATTTACAGAAACCTAATTGCTATTATTTCTTTCTTCCTAAAGCTTACATGGGAATAATTATACCGATAAATGTGACCTACTTGGAATCATGTACTGAGTGAAACTCCAAAAGTTAAAAACACATTAAAGCTGGACTTGGAAAACCAACCCATGCTAACAATTTTAAGTAGAGCAAAGCTCTGAGAAATCATAAATAAAGAAATAGAAGTGTTTGGGCCGGGGATTTAGCTCAGTGGTTCCGGCGCCTGCCTCGCAAGCGCAAGGATCCAAGTTCAATCTCTGGTACCAAAAAAAAAAAAGAAAGAAATAGAAGTGTCAAAATTATAGTGTCAGAAGTATGACAGGGTCTTATTAAGTAAAAAAAAGAGTATAACAAAAGTCTGTATGTTTTTCTGAAAAGCGCTATTTTAAGCATTTTTAAAGTTAAAATCAGATTTCTTAAAGTAGATTCATCCCTAAAGTGTTTCAGATAGAAGCAGGGAGAGACTCTTAATGGTATGCTTAAAATTAGTTTCTTTCAAGCGTAAAAGCCTATGAGCTTCGGTTTCCATATTGAAAGACTAAGCAATTGGAATATCTATAGTTTCTTTCAGTTTTTATACATAGTACTATATGGAAGTCATTGCCACAAAATACTTTCATACTATTCCTTCTAAAAATTAACATGTATCTCCAAAATAACTAGGTTTTTTGAAAGTCAAATAGTTTAAGATTTTTAGTACCAAAGGTGAGAACTTTAATTTGTATCCATGTGATACCATTTCAGGGGAAACAATAAATTAGAAGTACTTTAAAATACTTAAGTTTTGTTTTTTTCCCTAGTTGATTTATGTAAATTATGTAGGAAAATATTAATGTTGAATATTAGAGGAGTCCATTGCCTGCATAGTGAATTCAGCAGTTTATCAAGCTAAAAGATACTGGCAAGAGATGAAAGCATGCAATTGCCTCATATCTTGGATAACCTCGTTTTCACATGAAGGCCCCCTTCACAACTGAGTCATCACCATAATAGAGATGATAGTAAACTTTTTGTCCTGGCTTCCTACAGTGTTCTTCAGCTCAAAAGTAGACTGTACTTGCTTCTATAAAAGATGGTTTCGAACTTTACATTTTTCTAAAACACTACTCCTGTGTGAGTTTAAGAAGTAAACTGCCTCTTCTAAAGACTTAACCAAAATGCAGCATAAAATTTCACATGTTAGGAGCTTAACAGTTAAATTCTAAAAATAGTAAATTCACTCACTTGTTTGGGGCACTGATTTGTCCCCATTTCTATGAACTGTCTTCTTCTGTGTTGGAGGGTTGCAAGAAGAAAGATGGGTAATATTTAACAGTTGATTTAATTTTTCCACTGAAGTTCCTATACTTAACACAGTAGAACTTTTTACTAAACTGAGAAACTATATATTCATTTCTGAAAATAAAATAATAAATGGGTGTGGTAAAAATTCCAGTAGTACCAAAAGATATCAAATAGAGGTCTCAGAGCCTCCTCCATCTCACCAAAATCTTCCCCCCAAAATAATCACTATTGTTTCTTATATATTCTTCCAGAAGGGAAATAAGCATTTGAAGCATGATCACATCCTTTGTTTTTAAATGTACACAAAAAGTGTACGCACTACTCCAAGCGTTTGTGATAATGGCTTGTAAAACTTGGAACTAAGTAAATCATGCAGTGCAGTGTGACTAACCATGACCAAAGAAAGAACAGTTGTGTTTACTACTGTAACATATAGAAGAACTTGGTTTCAAAAGTATTTGACAGAGGAGTGTAAATGGACAATTCTATTTAACAGGAATCCAGCACTGATTTTTTTGTTTTGACTCTTAAAAATACTTTTTTAAGTGAACCAGTAAAACTCTAATATTTCAAAGTACTTTAACACCAAACCTTGGAGACCATAATATTGGAGTCACACGTAGTTCTCTACTAATGAACACTACATAAATATAATGTGAGTGATAATAGAATTTCCATTCTTTTAGGTAATGTTTTCATATTTAATTCCCTTAACATACATTCTAAGAAATGTATTTATTGAGTCAAGAGAATATTTCTAGACCTTTTTTTTTTTGGTACTGGGGATCGAATCTAAGCCTTGCCCATTGCCAGATTGTTCTCCAGAAACATTATTCAGGTTTACTTTGCAATCAGTAAGTTATGATGGAGCATTTATTTTTTTTAAATCCTTGCTCGTTTGAGAGGTAAATAATGCCATCACTGTTGGCTTCAACTTATATTACTTTCATTACCAATAATAGTTTGTTCCGGGCCGGGTATTTAGCTCAAAGTTCGATCCCTGGTACCAGGAAAAAAAAAAATAGTTTGTTCCTTATATTGCTATGGTTTTCTTCTTTTCTTTCAAATTATCTGTTCTAATCTATTGCCCATTTATTTATGGGAATCTCAATGTTCTTTTCTCAAATCTTTAGATCTTTGTTATTAAACATATTAACTCATGTAGGTGATGTCATTCAGTAAATGTAAGTACTTTTTTCATTTTTTGTATATAGACATTCTGTGATTTTCAAATTTAGAAAGTTCTTTCCTCTGTAGTTTAACACTCAGTTCTATTTTTTTACTGTTTTGGAGGAGAAGTGGAGTGGGGCTTTATAATCAGTCTTAGGACACTTCTTACACAAATAAAGTGGGATTATGCTTCATACATGGTTTTATTATTTTTTCATGTTATAGTCTCTTTTGAATGTCTAGCAAGTATTTACCTTTGTGATCTCGACTCCCAGCATAGTCTTGGGTACATAGTAGCCCAACTACAAAATAGGAATGATAATCATTCCTCAAATAAGTACCCAGTAGTAGTGGTGCTGTTAATTATAACAAGTATTAGTTATTAGTAAACATTAATGGGGGCTGTCCCTCAACTTTAAACATAGTATGTAATCCTGACTGTAAAAGAAACCTTAAGAAAACCCTGTGAGTAGTATGCTATTATTTTCTTCATTTACAGAAGAAGAGTTGATACAGAAAGTCGTTTAATAATTTTCCCCCAGGCCCTTCATAGGAAGTGATAGTATACCCCAGGCTTTTTGAGCCTCTTTTTTTCCCACTGCCTCGGTACCAGGGATCAAGTCAGGACCTTCTGCTTGCCAGGCAGGCACAGTGCCTCTGAGCTACATCCGAGCCCTGAATTCCTTGCTCTTTACCAAACCATTAAACTGTTGCCCCCTACTGCTAACCCATAGACATTTTCCTGTGCTAACCTTCGGTGGTCTCAGGGTCTTTGTACAGCATTGGAGCTGATTACTGGTTTCATCACAGGATAGCTTTGTAATAGTTTTAAGTCTGGGTTGCCTCTGTCTGAGGCTACTAAAATACTCTGACTAAATCCCAGCTTAGCCTATCCCTGTTGTGTACGCATTTCTTCCATTTCTCTAGCATTGTATTCTGAGGGGGATAGTGTCTGGCTGTGGTTTCAGTAGTAGTTCTTAAGAAAACGTAATTTTGATCCACCTACAAGTTCCTTTGTGCCATTGTTAACAATCCAGTGTCTTAAATCCTTCTGAATTTGTTTATACAACTTTTTTTTTTTTTTAAGATTTTATTTTGGGACTGGATCATACTCCAGAGGAGAAGGGAAATTTATTGTCTTTTTTAATGATAAAAACCTGTCAATCATATATGACTCCAGAGTCAGTGTTGACACTTTGTTTGCAGCCTGTCTCTTTTTAATTCATGATCACTATCTGATTTGCATTTCAAAATACGGTGTGTTATAAATAATAAGTTGGCTTGCATTTGTGCTTATTGTGCAAGACTAATGCTTAATGTAAAAGATAATTCTCAGTTTAAAAGTCATGATCTTTTGATGTTTTGCAAGACAATCTGATGAGAAAATGGTCTTGAAGAGACTGAACTCATTTTTATGAGGAAGTCATTTTCTAGAATTTGATCAGACTTTAAAAAGAGTATGCTTTAGAGGAAAAGGGCTATATCACAAGGATACATAATGATTGAAATCTATTGCAAGTAATATTTTTCAGGTTAAAAATAAGTAATGACAGTTCTATGAAAGGAGAGGCAATCAAGAGGCCTGAGATATGTAAAAATAAAACTGGTTATAAGGTTTAAAGAGAATGAGCTTTCACAGACAAAAGTAAATTATTTAGAGTTTAAAAAATATGAGACAAAGAAGATGAAGGACTGGGAAGATGATAAGGAAAATAAAAGATGAAAAGAGCCAGTGTGTCAAATCTAAATACTTTGGATTGCCTTAAAATGTACTTTGCTAGGAATACTGCAGGTGGACCACCCCCATAAAATGCTTGTGGTCTTGTTATTAAGCACTTTATTAGCGTTTTTGTGTTGCATCATTAAAGCTTCATGGTAATCAGAGCAGTGCTTTTACCTGTACAATATAATAGCTATTGAAATGAATGAATGTTGAAAGTAATCTGAAATTACTTGAAATTTGTTTAATAGTGATTTGCTTGTGTTCTCACGAAGAGCATGTTAAAAGCATTTTTTGTAAGTCATAATAGGAACTTGGGTTTCTTTAACTACAGCTTGTCAACTGAGTGTCAGTATTTTGGCTGTGGAAACCTGACAGGTACTTATGTGTACACGCCTGATGAGTGTAGTAAATTTTGGCCCGATTTTAAAGTAGAGAAGTATTTTTCTTCTTTGTAAAACCTGAAGTAGTATGTCCTTAATGCACTTGTGTTCTTTCTGTCTTATTTAGGGAAGCAGTGTTTCTTAGTCCTACGTCAGCAGCAGTTTAATGTCCAGGCTCTTGTTGCAGTGGGAGACCATGCAAGCAGGCAGATGGTTAAGTTTGCTGCCAAGTAAGTAAGCAATTATATCCTGTTGTCAGAATAAACAATGGTGGGAACCAAGACTCCCAGGGGTTTGGACCATTTTCATACATTAACATCAATGCTTCGTTTGTTTAAAAATGTAGTTATTTAAATTGTCAGTTCAGTGTTGCTGAATACATTAAACTTACAAAAGAGAAAATATGGAGCACAGGCTTGAAATTCATTTGGAACTGCTGAAGCAGCACTCTTTACAGACAAGTCACATTTACTTTCAAGTAGAGTAACAAAAAGCCTGGCAGCTTCAACATAGCAGAGCAACTTTATTTTGTTGTTTGTTGAACTTCCTTTCCTCCTTCCCTCCCCCAGTTTTAGATTTGTATGTTTAGCAACAGGTTTTTTAACTGAATAATAAAAAGTATGTGAAAGAATGTAGTTTTGCAAATAATTTCCTCTGAAGAAAGTAAAACCTAGGTTACAGAGTGTTACAACTTTTAACACTGACACCAAAACAGTTTAGGGGGAAAAAGTAAAACTTGCTTTTTCCCCAGCTCTAAAGGCCTTACAGTCTTGCTCAGAGTTCTCGCGGAAACATACTGCTTTGTTCAGCTTGAAAGAGGCAAGATACAGATGAAAAACAAGGATGGTTGTGCAGTGCATACTGTGACTTTAAGGAAATGAGAATAGTTCCCTTGGTAGTTGGTGACTTGGCTAGTTTTGTTTGAATGGTTTTCTCAATTGGAATTTTATTCCCATGACAGTGATCAAGGAAGACATGGGAAATGGATTTCTTTACTTTGTAACTATTAGAGTACTTCCTAGGAATAAATACTGCTTTTTGGGGGTTTTTTGTTTTTTTGGTACCAGGGATCAAACTCAGGACCTTGCGCTTGCAAGGCAGGTGCAGCACCACCGAGCTACATCCCCAGCCCTTGGTATAAGTCTAGACTAAGTGCTCTATTTTTCTATCAAGTTTTTTAAAAATCTCTGTTCTTTAGATGTATGCTTTCAAAGATGAGTTATTATAGCAGGAATTGTGAATTCTGGAATTACAGAATGCACCAATTTAATCTCCTAATATCTGTTTGGGCACTTCCTGGTTTTGGTTTAGAGATTTATCAAATTCAGTTTTGTTATTTCATAATAGTACCTTAAACTCATGTTAAAAAATTTTAGTACTATGAATTACATCATCTCATTGATGAATTCAGTATTTTTTAGTGCTACTAGTATAGTAGCCCACCTCTCCATTTCTCCCAGTCTTACAGCCCAGAAATACCCACTTTCATGTCTTCTGGTAATTAGGTTTGCTTGTTTTCATTTCATAGTGTGCTTATGAAATATATTGGTCATCTAGCATCTTAAATTCAGTGTTTATCCTATGAATTAGGACATAAATGAGCTTGGTATCTAGAAATAAACTTTATATAGAGAACCTTCTATGAAAAGAAAAAAAAGAAGAATGGAATCGTAACTGTGTGGTAGCATACTTGCCGTTGTAGGCTATGGGTTCAATTCTAGCACCGCTACCCCCCAAAAAAGAAAAACCACAGGCATGTATGCTAAATTATATTTGATATACTGAAAAATATTTGAAAAAAGTCAACCCCAAACAAACAGTCTTTATAATTTTTGTCTTGTATATATCAATTTGGTTCTGCAAATTAATACTGTATATGAAATTGACCGTTTTATGGAAAATGTTTTTCCTTTGAATTGCATTAAATGCTCAATGTTACATTCCTTTAAAAAAGCTTCTAGGGCTGGGGATTTAGCTCATTGGTGCCACCGCCTGCCTCACAAGCTCAAGGTCCTGAGTTCAATCCCCAGTACCAAAGGAAGAAAAAAGAAAAGAAGCTTCTAACCCTCAAGTCTTTTGGTGGGCCCATTTACAGCCAGTCACGGTGGCATATGCCTGTTTACCTCAGGTACTCAAGACACTGAGGATCACAAGTTCAAGGCCAGCCTGGGCAATTTAGTGGGACTCTGTCTCAAAAAAAAGGAAAAAGAGGGCTGGGAATGTAGTTCAGTGATAGAGCACTTGCCTAGCACCCATGGGTTCAATCCCCAGTACTGGAAAAAATACAACAAAGTCTCATATACCTTTAATATTCACTGAGAGGCATTGTACTGACAAGAGGACAGTCAATCCTTGTGATGTCTTTAGAAGTAGATACATTAAAGTAGTCCACAAATAAGCTATTCTCATTATTTTGGATACTCTGGAAAACTCCTAGGACTTGACTAAGTAGCAACCAAAGCATCAACCAAAATTTACTAGTTGGAATAACTACTTGCAAATGATCATCAAAAAGAACTTAATTTACTAATGTCCTCACAATATATTTTTTTTTCCTCACAATATATTTTTTAAAGAAAGGCCAAGCTTTCATTCAGATGGAATGATAGAAGGATGATCTTTCAGACAAAGGAAGAATTAGTCTTGATTTCATAATTTCTAAAGTGAAACTTAAGACCTAGGCGGGCCAGGGATGTAACTCAGTGGCACCACACTTACCTGGCAAGTGCAAGGTCCTGAGTTGGAGTTCCAGTACAGCGCGCGCGCGCACACACACAAAGACCTAGGTAATTCAGATTTAACAATTAAAATGTAACTTAGGTTTTTTTTTAAGGAACATGTATCTGTTTTTAGTCCTATAAAAATCTGACTTTATACCTGGTATCAGGAAAAAACTCAAACTTTATACAATTAGCAATGTATGGGAAAGGGCTGAGCTATTGCAAATTATAAAGCCCTTGGCAGGTTATATGGACATGAGGGGAGCCAATTTATACAGTAGGTTTAACATGTGGTACTTAGATTTTAATTGTACAACTTCTGGCACTAATATGCTAAGGAGTCAAGGCAGAGTTATTAAAAGTAAGTGTGTTGGGCTGGGGATTTAGCTCAGTGGTTCTGCCACCTGCCTCGAAAGCGTAAGGTCTTGGCCTTCAGTCCCCCAGTACCAAAAAAAAAGTAGGTGTGTTAATAGCTTTTGTTACCTTATGAAAAGAGAAGATTCTCATGACTGAACAGTATGTTTTACTTAAAATGGGTGCTCATTGGCTTCATCATGAAGTTAAAAATTAAGGTAGTTTTCATACAGTTAACTTTGAGGTCACATGGTCTGACAGTATTGTTCGGTGACCTGGCAGTTCTATGAAAGAATATAAGGAGTAAGGTTTTTTGTTGAGTAACAGTAAAAAGAAATTCCTTAGATATAAACAGATGAAAAGTAAGAATTTTTATAAACCACTATGTTGTGTGTTCACTTATTGTACTATATTGCAAAAATGTTAACTTGTTTTTAAGCATGGTGAATAATCCAATTTTCACATATGGCAACAATGAAAATAATACTTTTTTTACTAAAAATTTAAAAACATTTGAGAGTAAAACCTGCTATTTGTCTCTGCAAATGACTTAACACACATTTGGCTTCAAAACTTTTTGTAGTGTTCTTTATAATTTTTCCCACACATAATTTGTTAGAACAAAATAGTCCAGTTGTTAATTAAACTAATATTTATAGAGGGATACATGCTCTTTGTATACCCCCTTTAAGCTCATACTATATTTGCCAAAACTTTCTTTTCCAATCCTGGTTTTTGTAGTCTTCAATGGCTTTCTGTTTCCATCCATATCCAGTGTTCTGCCTGCGGGTTCCCTCTCTACACTGTTATTTCCCCCCACTTCTCAATATGCACTCTTTGGTTTGGGCAAACTCCCCATACCTGCAATGACTTCTCTTCTGACTTTACTTCATATTTTAACTATAGCATTTGCTTTTATTAAATAAATCCTCATTCTTTGTCACTTCATTTAATCCCATATCCTTCATGATAGTTATTAATTGATCTCTCTATTCATTTCATAAGGATCCAAACATGTATTCTTAGGGGGATGGAAATTTTCTGTATATACTTTTTTTGGGAGGGTACCAGGGATTGAACTCAGGACCTTGCGCCCGCAAGGCAGGTGCTGGAACCACTGAGCTAAATCCCTGGCCCTGTATATATACTTTTAAAATTTTAGTATGTTTTGATAATAATCCTAAAACTATATAAGGGTGTTACTCCATATCATCTTAAAGGCCAGTTTATAGCTGAGAACTGCCTTGTGACTCAGAGTTTCCATTAGCACTTACTGTTATATTTACAATTGTGTTTGTGCCATTTGAAGCCAAATGATATGTTTCTATATAAATGGAGGCTTCATAGCAGCTTAAATAGAGACTTGACAAGTTGGGTTATCAGGTTTAATTAATAGTAAAGAGGCATACTGAACTCAGAAAACTTGTATCATTCAAGCCAGATGTATTGAGTCCTATTTTTGTCTCTGCAGGGACAGCAGATCATAATAGTATAGTAGTTTCCATGCAAGAAAAAAAAAGTTTCTTTTTCCACTGTCAGTGTTATCAAATTAGACATTTGATGCAAATTTTAATTACCGGTGCTACATTATTAACTTTCTCATGAAAAATATAGTTTTATAAAAAATGATGAACTGATACATTAAATTGTCATTTTGGATTGTTTACAGAAGTTTGCTTAATTAGACCACATTATCCAGAACCATCCTCAAAGTTAATGTTTTATGTAATTATGAGCAAGCATTCTTTACTAGCATTAAAGTCAAATACAGAAACGCATTAAATATAGAACTGATATGGAGGCTACAACTTTATACAGTAAACCAAATGTCAGCAATTTAGTTTTAGTAAAACTTCACTGTTGTAGATTTTAATTTTTTAAGGTTTCTTTAAAAATTCATTTCATTTTAAAGTTATGGGCTATAATTATAAACATCCTAATTTTGTCCTTGAAGGTATTTAATTAATATGATGAAACTGTTATAACTGAAGGTCTCTGGCATTTTTTTGTTCCAATAAAGAAAGCCCTTATACTAGTTTTAGAACCCCTGGTCCATGTCATATTAAACTGTTCATACTTCTTTTTTTTTTTTGGTACTGGGGCTCGAACTCATGACCTTGTGCTTGCGAGGCAGGCACGCTGCCACTAAGCTAAAT